CTCCGACGTCTCCCGGCTGCTCAAGACGCTGTCCCAGATGGAGAGATACGAGGTGAGGAGCGGTGGCCAGGCCACGGGAGGGGGCGCGGGCTGTCCGTGCTCCTCCCCCCAGATTCTGTGGCACCTTTGGGCGGGCCGCGGCGTGGCCTGCCTCTCCAGCCTCTGCTCATCTTCAGCAAAATACCGTGGTGTTTCTGGGACGGAGGTCCAGGACCAAGACTGACCTGAGCCTGAAGATGTACCAAGAGGAGATTCAGGTAGGAGCACCAGGCCACTCTGCCCAGCCCCAGCCTGCGAGCCCCCCGGCGCTGGATGGGGGGACCCCGGCCCCTGAGAGGGGGTGGGGGGACTGCTGGGGAGATCTGAGACCGCTCGCTGGGCCTGCTAGCGGTAGTGTCAGGGACGCAGGTTGGGGGCCCCTGCAGGGATGGAGGTGCTCACTTTGAACTCCTCCTTCTGGAGGGCAGCGCTCCTGTCTGGGCTCTGCCCACTGAGCCTTCTGAGAGCTTCGTCTCCCTTTCCCACTCTGAGCCGGCTGCACACGACGTGTCCGGAGCTGGGGCCGGGCTGGGCGACGGGCCAGGTGGGGCACACTGGGCTGGCAAGGACTCGCCCCAAGGACTCGCCCTTCGAAGATCAGGCCTGTTCCAAGGTCCCCCCGTTCTGGGTGTACCCCTCAGTGGCCTGCCACCCCTGGCCCCAGGTCTCTTAGGGTTAGGTTTCTTTTTCCTAGCAAAGACTCCCAAGTTTTCCTCATTGGCAGCTAAGAAAAAGGTCTTGCAAGGTGACGTGGGCTGGAATCCACTGTGTCCTATGGCAGCCTGGGTGTGCTGGACACCCTGCTTGGGGCCTCCCTTCCCCAGGGGCCAGGGCTTCGGAGAGGGTCTCCCTGGCCAGTTCTCTGCTGGGACATGGGGTGACCAGATCATGCCCAAAGGTACCCTGCAGGGACTGGCATTCTCTAGAAACACGAGCCCGGGCCAGGGTTCCCGGGGCAGTGCAGTGGGGGAGACTTGGGACTAGTAACATCGAGCTCTACCGGGAGTTGCGGGGACCTGGGGGCTGCTTCCTGGCTTCCACGTCCCTCCTGTAAGACAAGGAGGCACAAACAGGGTGTCAGTGTTTTTCGGGGACTCTTCCAAAGCACAGGGCGGACGAATCCCCTCACCCCCTGGGTGACTCCATCCTGCGGATGTAACAGGGACGCCGTTTAAAATTTTTCCCAAAATGCTTTCACTGCCTTCGTGGGGGCAGCAAAAGCACTGTGGGCATTGCAGGGGCAGATGACTGCACCCCACTTTGCACGCCCGCCAAGCTCCCATTTGCTCACATGTAAATGAGGACAGATTCCAGCAAACTCAGCAGTGAAAGCATGCAGGGAAGCAGCGGGATGCTCTTGTGAACAAGAGACTTACTCACAAAGGAATATTCCTACCACCCGGGTCTCACTGAAAAGTTTTTGAGCACACAGACCTCTGACTAAGGCAAGATTTCATCGTCATTTTTCCATTTAGGACCACGTTCAGAATCCCCAGCAGGCCTGGGGGTGCAGGGGCCATTCAGTCCCCACCGAGTGGGACTGCCAGCCCGGTCTCTGTCCCGACCTTCCTCCGCAGCTGGCTGTGGCTGGGGTCACAGCACGTCCAGCCCGGTGATCTGGTGACCTGGCCAGGCGGGGGCGGTGCAGGGCTGGCTGGGGGGACGCACAGCACCCCATCTGCTCTCTGCTTTAGGAGTGGTATGAGGAACATGCCCGGAAGCAGGAGGAACAGCGACAGCTCAGTGGCAGTGGCGTCCTGGCCACCGGGCAGCCCGCAGGTGGCCGTCAGCGCTCCCAAACCATCACCTAAGCCCCGCTGGAGAAAGCCATCTCTTCTATGCAATAACACGATAGTATTATTTCACTACGACGTATCGAGAGGACGTGTGTATACAGATGTGCACACACGTTCCTATATATGCACATATTTATATAGAGAAGGAGGAAGCGACAGACAAAATGGCCTCAGTCTGTGACCACCCTGCCCTGTTTTCCTGAACCCCAGAAGTCAGAGCCCCTGGGAGCCCCTTGTACCATGGAAAGCTCCAGAAGGGCCCCTCACCAGAAGGCCACTTGTGTGGGTTCTGCCAGCTCCCAGGGCTTCAGAGTGGCCCCCGGGCCACTCCAGACCGTCTTTCCGATTCTCCTTCCAGACCCACACCCCAGCTGACAGCCTCCTCATTGCCCCCTGAACCCCACATCACGGGGCCTCTGTGTCTTGCTTTAGGGATAGAACCACTTAGGAAGGAAAGAACCCACATCTTTGGGGTTAGTATTCCATCTCTATGATAATGTCACAGAATGTCCTGAATGTTCTTTGGGGGGACCAGTGCCTAGGACTTCAGGGGAGGAATAACCTGGGGGGGGGGCGATTCTACAGTGAGGTCAGTCCCCAGCTGGTTCTGGGCTGCAGAGACTGCACAGGGCCCTGGCCCTGGCCCTACACTTCTCCTGTTTTGGGTTTTCACTCTTGTGGCTGAAAACCCTAAAATGCCCTGTGGCCTCCAGGTGCAGCGGGAGGAGGGAAGAGCAAGAGTTGCCCCCCCCAGCTCCCCAGGGGGCTTTCTCCAGGGCCCCGACCTTGTGGGTTTCCCGTTGGAGTGGAGGGGCCTTGGCTGTCGGGGTTCTGCTCAAAGCAAGGTCCTGCATGAGCGCCGGGGATGAGCGGGGGCACACGCTGCCCCCAGGCCGAGCCCACCGGGCTGCCCGGCGCAGCCCCCTTCACCCCGGCACTTGCCCTCGTGAGGCGAGCTTGGCGGCGGCAGGAGTGGGGCCTCTGCTCACCCCAAGGTCCTTGCTAGCAGGAGTGGTTGGTGCAGAAGTCGATTCTGGGGGCCCTCGGCCAAGCGCGTCTGAGGTCAGCAGGGTCGGGTTGGGGCCAGCGCTGGGTCCCTAGCAGGCTGCCAGGGTGCTGGCCCCAGTGGGCGGGCGAGGCTGCGCCCCAGCAGCAGCGGCGGCAGCAGAGCTGAGGTTGCTGGGTCAGCTCTCCAGGGCTGCAACCTAGCCCCATGCAGGAGGCAGCGGTGGTGGGATGGCGGGGGGAGCCTCCCCACTGGGCAGCCTGGCCCCCGCCCCCCCAGCTCTCCAACTACCTCCCAGGGCAGGAAGGCGAGTGGGCAGAGGCCCCTTCTCGCCCCGACCTTCACCCAGCAGGGCAGGACTGACCCCAGAGCTCAGTACCTGGCTCTCCACCCCCTCTCCCGGCCATCTGCAATCCCCAGAGGGTGGATCCCCAGAGTCCCTCACCCAGGGAGAAGTGGCGGCCACTTGTTTTTAAAGCACAGCCTTTTGGGAGGGCCACTGAGATTCCCTTCAAGGAGTAGGAGCCTGATGTTATCCTCTTGTCTCTGGAAGGCTGCTGGCCACCCCAGGGAAGCGGCACCAAGCCCCAGGCCCGGCCCCTTCCCCTGTATTTGCACAACCCGGTGCCTTTCAGCTCTTGGGCAGTGAGGGCAGGGCCCCCCCCCCCCGGGGGCTGCGAACCTGGAGGGACACCAGCCCAGAGGAGTTGAGGTCCCTCCTCTCCAGGTCAGTGGGCTGCTGGCGGGACAGGTGGGGTTACTCCAGTGCTCCCAACCTTGTGCCGGGAAGGCCTGATCGCAGGTGGGACCATGAGGGCAAAGGAGAGTTGTACTTGCAGGCCAGACTCCAGCGAGAGTCTGGACACAGCTCTCCCTGTGGGGTCACCAGGGGCCTTGTCACATGGACCCTCCAGCTTTACACAGGCCCGTGAAGCAGGGGTCACCCAAGGCTGTGAGCTCTGAGTGACACAAGACATCACCCCACTCTGATGCCCTCGCCTCCCACAGCAGAGGGGCCCCCGTGACCAGGAGACCCCCCCACGCTGGGGGCAGCCACCTCGCCCCTCCTCCTCACTCCCTCTCCCACCAGCCTTATTCCACACCACGCGACAATCATTTCTAGGGACAGCGGGCGCGACACTGTAAGGTTTTGTACATTGGCAATTGGTTGCCTAGAAAACCCAGTTTCCGGATTTCTGGCATATTAATAAAAGTCTGTGCTTTGTAAATGTGGCGACTGTCTGGTCACTCCCTCCCACACCGCTCTGGCTTCTCTCACGCTGGGGAAAGTGGCGAGGTCCCGGCTGGGCAGGAGGGCGGAGGCGACCCCTTACCACCTGGCCCAGGTAAGGAAGGACCAGGAAGAGCCAGGGTGTGTTTGCACGCTTGGAACATTTAATAACACTTTCATGGGAGAAGGGAAACTGGCATCCCTTCACTGACAGCACAGGGCACTGGGAGAAGGCAGGTCCCTGACCACAAGGCGCCGGGAGCTTGCCGGCTGGGGCCTGGCCGGGCTCCCCCTGAGGTAGGCGCCAGGCAGCCATGCTGCTGCCTGGCTTGCAGCTGGGGAGGCAGGTCCAGGCACAGGTGTTTGCCACGTCGGCGGCCAGCTCCGGAGTCCGTGATCCTCCCTGCTGGTGACTGGAGCCCTTGGGTCAGTGCGAGTTTATCTACCCTGCCTTCCACCGTCTCCTTTGGCATCATATTATGCTGATGAGCAAACTGGGAATGGGGTGTGGGGTGTGCGCCCGTACAGTGCGGCCTCAGCCCTTAGCGCCTGAGCCCTCGGCACTCCACTCGGGGTCACCTGACCCTGGCCTGAGTCGCCCCAACGGGTGCCCTCCCCCGGGTTGGCAGCCACTTGTAGCCTGAGGAAAAGATGCAGGAGGGCAGAGGGGTGACTGGGGAGGGGGCCCGTGCCTCCCAAGTTGCTTCCAGCCCTGAACCCACTTTGGGGGTCTCCGGGCCCAGAAGGCACCCCCTCATCCCCTCCACCCCAAGTCCTAACCGGAGGCTCTGGTTATAATTCTGGGAAGGCTTCGCTTCCGCCCGCAGCAAAGCCCGCTGTCTGGAGCTCCACACAGGAGGCCCGGCTGTGTCCCGACCACGGCAGCGGCGGGGGCTGTGTCCCGACCACGGCAGCGGCGGGGGCTGTGTCCCGACCACGGCAGTGGCGGGTCCTCTGACACCCCCGGCTGCCCCGCCCAGAGGCGCTGGCCAGTGCTGCGTGGCCCCGGGGCTCCAGGAAGCCCCCCCCCTCCACGGTCCCTCTGGCCGCCTGCAGTGGCACCTTCTGACCGCCAGGTGGACCCGAACACGGCTTCTTCCCTCATTCACTTTGCAAGTGAATCACTTGAAACTCGGTGAGCAGGGCCACGACCAGGAAGCTCAGGTAGAAGAGCAGCAGGCAGCAGCCGTAGACTCTGTTGAGCTGAAAGCACTGCAGCGGCACCGAGACCAGCGAGCAGACCAGGCTGAGGCCCAGCGCGCCGGCCAAGATCCACACCAGCAGTCCCTCGGGCTCCAGCTGGGGAGAGGGGGGCAGGCCGGTCAGGGGGTGGGGTTCCAGCCCCCCCAAGGCATGCCCACTGTGTCCCCAGACACACCCCTGACTGCAGCAGCAGGGAAGAGGGCTAAGGTCAGTGGGGTCACCTGCCTGCTGCTTTCCTGCCTCCGTTCCCCACAGTTGGAACAACCGCACTCCAGCTAAGCAGGTTAAGTGCAGGGGTGCTCACGGCTTCCTGCGAAATGCATCCAAAATCGAACGGAAGTAGGCGGGGCGGATGGGCAAGGAGGCACAAGAGCCGAGGGTCAACGGGAGGGTCTAGAGAGGGCTGTGAGTGTGCACTGCACAATCCACTGAGCTGTTCTGTTGGCACGTTCGTGACTAGGCGTTGGGGAGCTCTTCATGTGGAAGAGCCTGGCGGCCACAGAGCTCTGGCAGGCACTGTGCTGAAGCCCTCCCTTGCCGGCACTGTCTTGTCCTGTCCCAATCATAAACGTGTCAGCTGGGCCCTCCCTGGTGGCGCAGCGGGATAAAGCGCAGCACTAAGAAGCTAAAGCCACTTCTGCATGAGTTTGATTCCCACCTGCCCGGAGGTGACCACATGGCGTGGCAGACCTCTCCTGACCCACCCGCTGCTCCCCTCAGCAGTGTACTTTGTCGATCTGCCTGTTCTGCTCCCCACTCTGTCTCTGGTGAAGCCTCTCACCATCCCTGCACCTCTGGCCTGTACCCCAGTTCTGTATGCACAAATAAACAAATCTTTTAAAAAAAAAAGTGTCAGCTGGGCAATGGTGACTCCACTTTACAGATGAGGAAACTGAGGCAGGAAGACACTGGCTCCCTTGTCTGAGTCCCTCACCAGCGCCGGCCTGGGAATCCAGGCCTGACCCCCAGACCCCCAGCTGAGGCCTGCTGGGCCATGGAGGGAAAGGACAGGCAAGAAAGAGCTGGAGTGAAGAGAGAGTAGCGCAAGCCAGAGTCAGGCCAAAGGCAGCTCTTCGGTGGCAGAGGGGACACTGAGCCTGATTCCAGGACCCCAGGATCGGGGAGCTGAGAAGGGGTGGGCTCCAGGCTGTTGGGGTTCACATTACATTGGGTTGGATAATGTGTCCCCTGAATTTGTGTCCACCCAGAACTTCAGCAGAAGTGGCTTTAGACGTAATCCGTTAGGACCTCCGCTGCGTCCAATGACTGACGCAGTCATTGGGATAAGAGGCCAGGACCAGAGAGACGGAGCACGGTCACGGGAAGACAGAGGAGAGAGCGGCATGGCCACCGGCCAAGGTCACTCAGGAAAAGGCTCCAGAAGCTGCAGAGTCCGCAAGGAGGGAGCCCCCCACCCCACCCCGAGAGCCCCCAAGGAGCCCCATTCACCGAGACATCAGACTTTCGGGTCCCAGAACTGTGCAGGGGCTACTTCTGTTGTCCTAAGCCACCTAGCTTGTGATCACTTACCATGGTAACCCCAGATAGATATAGAGAGAGATAATATATATCTATATTACGTCTTGTATTCCTGTACTTATTTTTCAACAACTTGCAGGATAGGTGCCACCGATACATGTAAGAACATGATAGATAAATCTCTCACGCGGCTGCTGAAAATTTTCAATGCGCAAGAGTAGGCAGAAGCGGCAAGGTCCTGGCCCTGCTCCTCCTCCCTCCCGACCCAGTGATCATCCAGCACTCTGAGGACTCCCTGCCTCGTGCTGTGCCCGAACCACATGCTCCAAGCCTTTCAAGCGCCCCGCATGCCAGGGGACCATTGTACTTTCACCAGCCCACAGAGGAGGAAACTGAATAATTAGGAAGTGGCTGGAGCCAAATTCAAGTTCAAGCTCTTAACCAAGAGTCTCTCCTGCCTCCCCGGACAGGCCAGAGCCAGCCTTGTGGGCACACACATCTCCAGACCCGCACGCGCAGTCCACACAGAGGCGGGCAGCACCATGGCACCCCCGGCTTTCACCCACAGTGCACCTGGGACCTTCCACCAGGGTGGGTCTGTGTCGCCTGCCAGCACAGCAGGAATGTTAACTAGATCCAGCGCCAGGGCGGTGCAGAGACGGATGCTCACACGCGTGCGTGCAGGTGCGTGCTGCACAGGGAGCAAGAGAAGGGAAGAAGCGGGCCTCGGGGCGGGGGCCAGCCCTAAAGCTTCACCACTTGGCATGTCTTAGAATGGGCAATGCAAGGGGCCAATTAAACCCATGAAGAGTATCAACAGAATTTGCAGAGGGTGTTTACCTTCTTGCAAAGCAAACTTTACAAGCACAAGTGGCTGTTTGCTCCTGGGCGTGGCTGCTGGGGTAAGGCCTGCCTCCTGCCAGCTAATTACAAGTCTGCCGGCTTCTATTCAAGAATTAGATAAAAGTAGGCACCTCTAGGAAAAAGAGGTAGAGGCCTCTGTTCCCACTGTCAGCCTCCTGATCCCCTCGGGCTGTCCCCTCGGCTGACCCCACCCTGGGTCACAGTGCCCATCCCCAGCTTAATCTTCTCCTGGCTCACCCCTGAATTCCAGTCCATGGAGACAGCGCTGTCCTGGGGGGGGGGGGGATGGTAAACCCGAGGCTGCGGGTTGAGGCTGCTGTGCCCCGGTTTCTGCTCGCCCTGAACAATATTTAAAGACAGAAACGGTTCCCCTAGCCGTGTTGATTTCTGCTCTAGAGAACCAGAACTCTCAGGCCACAGCGGGGCCCCTGATGCACACGTGCCCCCTGCGGGGTTCCCTGGGCGGCTGAGCTCCTGTCCTTGCTGGAACAGGGAGGGCCCCCACCTTCAGCCCCCAGGGAGCTGACCTGAACGTGCAATTTCCAGCACCTGCCCTCTGAATGCCTGGGCCTCAGTTACCCCCAGAGAGTTCTTGGGGGCCCCTGAAGCGGAATCTCTGCTCAGTGTTTCAGACCTTTCTCCAAATCCTGCCCTGGGGATGTCTGTAGCAGGTGGCTTTGTTCTCAGCCCTGCCTGCTTTAGGCAGGACCCTTAGTCTCCTGGGAAGGAAACTGAGGCTCAGAGCTGTCACAGAACAGGAGACTTAAGTGATAGGACCATACCCTAACCCAGGGCCTTTCCAGAAGCTGCCTCTCTGGTACTTAGAAGGATGCTTTTCCATCAGCAATCTTATATGAAAACTATTTTCCAGGCTGTCTACAAACCAGACTGTCAGTAATTCGGACAAATGCCCTCCCCAGAAGGGCGGGAAGGCGCTGAGCAGCGGGTGACTGCGCGGCCAGAAACGTCGGAAAGGCTGAGGAGAGAAGGGGGAAGCCCGCTAGGCCACATCCGGCCACTCACCTTGACCTCCATGTGGCCCCTGGAGATCTGGAGCAGGCAGCCCAGCCCCACGCCCACCAGGATGTCTGTGGCTGGCTCAGGACATTTGCAGAACAGCACCCTCAGCCCCACCACCAGCCCGTCCCTGCCCACGCAGCCACGCCAGGGCTGGAGATGCCGCTGCACCAGACCGGGCTTTCTCTGGGGTCCACGCACTCCTGCCGCCTCCCCCGGAGGGGACGCCCAGCTGTGGAGGGCCCCTCCAGGTTCAGCGCCTCTGGGTTCAGTACCGAGTACTTTGTCCTCCATCTGTCAGGACTGGATGAGGCGACAGAAATGCCTGGGACCTGGTGAGTACTCAGGAGATGGAGAAACTGAGGCTGGGTGAGCTGAGAACCAGCCTCTTGGGGCCATTGATGGAGATGGACCAGGCCCACTCCAGTAGTTGGTCAAGGGACACCGGGCAAGCTCCCTCCTTCCCAGCTCAATCTGAGGGGTCAGGAGAGGCCTCGGCCTGGAGACACGGCTCTCTGAGACCACAAAAGGCCACACGGGCCTGGTCTGACCTGGGGAGCTCCAAAGAGCACTGGGGTGCCAGCCAGCAGCCCGCACTGTAGCTCCCCCTAGGCCCAGTCTTTGTGGAACTTGGGGCTTTTTACTATTATGCCTTTATTTCCCAACAACAATACCTGTGCCATCCCACGTGCTTGAGCTCCATCATCAGCCTCGTCCACACCTGTCTGAATTGACAGAGGCGGCTGGGGTTTAGAGAACAGGCGTGGGTGTCAGTCATCAGTGGGTGTGGGCAAGTAAAGCCCACAGGCCGATGTGGCCCGCTGTCTGCTCTTGTAAATAAAGTTTTATTGGTACAGTGTCACGCCCACTTGTGTATGTGTCGTATTGCCTCTGGCAGCTTTCACCCTCAACCACATAGCTGAGCAAAAGTGCTCCGAGGGCCCGCCAAGCCTGAACTATCTCTTCTCTGGCCCTTTAACAGTATAGGACATCCACAGACCTGGCATCTATCAATTTACCAGCGACAGGGCAGGGAAGCTCAGCTACAAATACCGGGGCCCTGGCACTGGGAGTTATCTTACCAGAGGCCAAGCATTGCTCTGTTGCCACATCACACCCCCTGCCAAACCCTTATGAGGTCACATCTCTCAACACTCCGATACACACACAGGAGGCTGCGGTTCCGGGAGCCTGTCACCTGCCCAGCATTACTGAGAGAGCCATTCTCAAGGATGGCAAGGAGCGGCCCACAGCCCTGGGGACATGCCCCCAGGGCCCAGATGAGGGCACCCATAAAGGATACTGAAGATGATGCCTCCGAAACAGGCTGAGAACGCCATCCGAGGGTAACCCTGGCGGGCCAGCGTGAAGTCCGAGAAGGCATCTGCGTGGAAGCGAGAAGTCTTGAGCGGAACATGGCACTCCAGGCTTGCTGCTCATTCACTCCTCACCTACGGTCATTCAGTCAACAAACACTGCTGACTCCCCACCGGGTCTGGCACTAGTTAGCTGAGTGCGATGGAGGACCCCAGCATTTGGCAGGGCACAGTCCCCCCTGAATTCCTTCTACCCCATGCTCTCCAACCGGGGCAACTTTGTGGGTGTGACATGCTTCCACCAACTTTTTGCTCATGTCCGTCAGCTGCCAAAACACACAGCACCTGTCTGGTTTAGAAAAAGGTGCCTCAAAAGGTGAGTGGAAAGAGAGATGGAATACAACGCCTGACCCCATGTGCACTCCTGTGCAGTGCACAACCCAGCCTGCCATCCCTGGCAACCGGAGAGGGGAGAGGTGTGAGCAGCTGCACACGTCACACATCTGTGGACCTTCAGCACAGCTGACTGCAGTGGCCGCGCAGGTGGGACTCCACGCCCTGCGGGAGCCACCGACTGTCCACATGTCACAGAGTGGGCTTCTAGAGTCTCCTGGATCAGGTGCCGTCCAGCCCATCTCACCCCAAGGCCCACGATGGTCACTCCAGAGTGACCAAGGGCCTGAGCCCACGCTGAGGACAGACCCCCTGGACTCTCTGGCCATGTCGTTTCAGCTGGGGGAGCAAAGAACAGGGGTGTGGCTGTGCTCATCCCAGGGCCCCATCCAGCCCCAATTCACCTCCGATGCTGTTCCCCCAGGCCAGCAACGTGAGCCCCAGGACGGTGTTGCTCAGCCGAGAGACGACACCCAGGGAGCGAAGGATGTTCACCACCTCAGTGGCAGCTGCGTTGATCCACAGGGCGCTGGTCAGGAAGCCCAGGAACGCAAAGAGCTGGGGAGGGACGAAGGCACTGATGGGACCAGCCAGCCCCCAAGGGCCACAGCTCAGCCCCTTGTCTGTGCAGCCTGACCCTAAGGGTACCTAGCCAGAAGGTCGCCCGAGTACACACAGGGCATAGAGTCCATAGAGTCCAGCAAAACCTGAGCTCGAAAAGACTATGTTGTCAAGAGAGCATTCACCAGGGCTTCCAGCCAACTGACCAAAGGCAACCCCATGACCACAAAAAGAAGCTCCTCCCCACTCGCCACTGGCGATCACTCGCCATCCCTGATGTCTCCCCCACCACCGGCCAGCACGTGTGGACTCCCGTTTCTGGATTTGCCTGTTCTGAACACATCATGTGACGTGTCTTTGTCACTAGTTCTTTTCAGCATGTTTGCAAGGGGCATCCATGTGGAAAGCCTGTGTCGGGTTTTTAAAGGCAGACAGAACGCCAACCAAAAATCACATCTGCAAATCATCTGTGGGTGGGACTGAGTTAGTATCTCCATTCGGAGTTTCTAAAAATAAAAACCGTATTTTTAAATCAATCAATCCTTATATTTTTAAGTAAACTTTTGAAGAAAAACTATACAAATGGCTTAGAAATTCCCGACTACTAGTGGAGAGAGTGAATACCGGAACTTTCCGGTATTCCACAAATACCGGAAAGTTCCATCACACAAACCCAGGTCTCCCCACAGGGTGCGGTGGTGGAGACTCTAGCAGGTCCTCAAAAGATAAACATACAGTTACCATCTGATTCTAAGGTTCCTCTGCCAGGAACATACCCAAGAGAAATGGGAGAAATTTCCACACACAGATGTTTATACCATGTTCATGGTAGAATTACATCTACCACCCCAGAACAGAGACAGCCCAAGTGTCCATCAATAGATAAACAGATAAATAATGTGTGCTATGTCATATAATGGAATATTATTTGGCCATAAAAAGGCCAATATACCAATTTGTGCCACAGCATAGCTAAGCTCTTAAAAGATTTTGCTAAGTAAAAGAACTCGGCCACACAAGACCACATAGAGTCTGATTCCATTTCTATGCAATGTCCAGGGCAGGCAAATCTATAGGGACAGAAGGCAGATTGGCAGTGGCTGGGGGCAAGGGGAGAGGCAGATAACAGCTGCTAAGGGGTACAAGGTTTCTTGTGAAGAATGATGACATACTCTAAGCTTGACTGTGAGAATGATGCACAACTCCGAGAATATAAGAAAATCTGCTGGATTACACACTTCACAAGGGCAGGCTGTATGCCATATGAATTACATCTCAGTAAAGTACAGTAGTTTTTAAAAAAATGAGAGGGAGTACCTTGAGTACCTTGAACAAATAAAAGATCTTTCGAAGGTGGTTTTAAAGACGGGTCACTGTGGAAAGTGGTTACTAGCTGACCCAGAAGGTAGACAGGAGATCTGACCGAGGGCCCAGCGACCCCTCTTCCAGCTGAGAAAGCCCAGGATTCTTACCCAGTGAAGCCTGGGGGGTTCGCTGTTGGATGTGGCAAAAAAGGTCACTGTGGCCAAGGCTGTGCCCGAGATCACCACCACGGCCCAGACAGGAAAGAGGCCCCCTATCTCATAGACACCATCTGCAGAGAGAAGAGAGAAGGAGACTGACGGTCCTCCCCACGGCTTTGGCTTGCACCACCTCCTGGAGGCCCCCTCAGCATGGTGGGACTGAACCCGCTCACACTTGACTGTTTGCATATAAGGAAACTTCCTGTGTGCCCAACCCTGTCCTAGGTACTTCCGAAAGGAGACAGAAATGAAAGCACAGCCACTGCCTTCAAGTTGGTCACACTGGAAAGAAAAGACAGATGTGTGAAAAACAGAATGTGCCCAGCTTGTGCTGTGGAACCAGGATGGGAATGGCTGTCATATTGGGGTTGCCCTGCAACAAGACTAGTCGACGATATTACCCTCTCCCATGCCCAAGGCAGACATCACTAATCACCCCCTGATACTCCGCCACCTGAGCTTCAAGGCAGCACCCTCCAGACAGGCATTAGCGGTGGACGGCTTGGCTCTGCGAGACCTATATGGTCATGCTGGCCTGCTCACCCGAGTGCCAGCACTTGCTCTCTTGACGGGCCTCTCTATGTGCCCATGCACGATCAAGTTAGGAAGGTTCCAGAAGTTTCTTACTGACATACTAAAGGGAGGAAATCTGCAGGCAGACAGAGCTAGTATTCGCCACACACCACTGTCACCACTAATTGGGACTGGACTTGGAGGTGGGGGGTGGGGGTGGGGGAAGCAATCTTCTGTGGCTCGGCCTCGGCCTCGAGGACGGCTGTTTTATCTTGAGTCTGATTCAGTGGCTCTCAAATGTCAGTGGGCCTGAGAATCACACCTGGGATTGAATTTACAAAGTTGCGTGCCCATACTGTCGGGGAGAGTTTTGACCAAATGTGGTGTTCACCTGCAGTGCCGGCTTTGGGATCTGATGCCCGGTGAGAGGCTCTTCCTGTTTGCCCAAGCTGTGCTAGAGGAAGTTTAGGTGGTGCCTCTTGGGGGGTGGGGTGGCCCGGGGCTCTGTGGAAGAGGGGAGAGATTGGGTGGGAAGCACCTGTGAGGTCATGCAGGACCAAAAGGGTCACGAGGCACTTCTCAGCAGGCCCAGCGAAGGCCTCTGGCCACCCTGGAGGACAAGCCAGAGGTCAGCCAAGGCCCCTGCGCCTTGGGAGGCCCACTGCCACTACTTAAAGAATGCAGGTTATTTGGCTGTGAGAGCTGGAAGGCACTGGAGGCTGGGGGAAGCCTGTGATCTTGCCCAATTGGGCCCCGCCCTACCCTAGCTGAAGCAGAGCTCTGTCCCAAGCTGCTCTTTTCCTAATCAAAAAAGCCATCACTGCTCTCCCTTTTATGACCTAGAAGAAGGCAGTTTGGGGGTCCCATCCAGTCCGGATTATCAGAATCTCATCTTTAGGGGGCCTCCCTGGTGGCGCAGGGGTTAAGGTCAACACTATGAAGCTATCCGCAGGCTCCCTGGCCAGGGAGCTGACCCACAGGGCACAGCAGACCTCTCCTGTCTCCCCTCAGCAGTGTATTTCAGTAGATCTGCCTATTCTGCTCCCCACTCTGTCTCTGGTGAACCCGCTCACCCTCCACAACTCTGGCCTGCACCCCAGCTCTTGTGTGCATAAAGAGTGAGGATGAGGTCACCCCCTTTCTTGCCTGCCATGTGAAGATTTCCCTTCTCTGTCCTTGACGCAGATAAACATTCCCGGTCTGCCCCACTATTCTTTAGAGTTTGCAGCCACGCACATTCTCCATGGGTATGTTAGTAAATGGATTGTTTTTTCTTTGCTAACCTGTCCAGTGCTGTTGTGATTATTCAGGAGTACGGGGTTCCTGTCACACCTCTGCAGGGTCGGGAAGGTTTGTGCCGGTAATAGCTGACAAGGTGGCTAGCACAGAAGTCCAGGGGGCTCCACCGAGGGCGGGGAAATATGGCCTTTCCAAGGGGTTAATAGGGAGGCCCCGCAGGCAGACACCCCCCAAATCACAACAATCCCTTGGGCAAAGAATCAAGTCGGAGTGACAATGCTTTAGACAGGATCAGCCTTTCCCAAGTGTGGCCCTGCCCCTCCAGCAGCTGTTGGGGCCTGGGGGCAACAACTGGGGTCCCAACACAGGAAAGGGGTCACACTGTTAGAGGAGAAAGTCTCCCCGGGGCCAAGAGGTCTGTACACCTCCTAGAGCCCTATGAGCAAAGGGGACTGCCTGGGGCAAGACCAGTGTGGCATGTGGACGTGTGGACATGGATCCGTCCGGATGCACTGCCACCCCCACTTCCAAGTGATGCCTCTAGGGGAGCGGACGGTGCCCAGATCACGGAAGCAGCATGAGGTACTCAGGTGAGACAACAGGGAGAAACCCGGGCCAGAGCAGGCCTGAAAAAGAAAGGCCAGCCTGGGCAGCAGGGGCCCGGCCCGGACACAAGGGGTGAGGCCCCCGGGCCAGGTGGCCCAGCATGCAGTGAGGGTGCAGCCAGGGACCGGAGAGCGGGGCCTTCTCAGCTTCTGCCTTCAGGAAGGTGCCCAGGTCTTCTGGAGACACTCACACCTGGATTTGGATATGAGATATCCTAATTTTTTAAAAGATTTATATATTTATGTATACAGAAACTGGGGTACAAGCCACAGGTGCAGGGGGTAAGAGGATTCATCAGAGACAGAGTGGGGAGCAGGACGGGCAGACTGAAACACACTGGTGAGGGGAGCAGGAGGCGAGACAGCAGAGGTCTGCCGCGCCATGCGGGTCACCTCCGGGGCGGGGATGGAACTCGTGCTGTGGTGGCTGCGACAGCTTCACAGTGCTGCACGTGTACCCCTTTGCGCCACCAGGGAGGACCTGAAATATTCTAGCTTCTGGCTGATAAGCCAGAAAGCCGGACTGGGTGCCAGGGACCCCAGTTTACCGCCTCCATCTACTGCCAGTCGAATGGAAGACGACTGCAGGCAGCTGGTGCCCTCCAGGGCAAAGCCAAGTGCCCGGGGCCTGCCGGGCACGAGCCAGGAGGACTGGGACACAGGTACTCACAGGCTCCCGACTGCAGGGTCAGGACCAGGACCAGGGGGCTGATGGCCAGGTGCAGGCAGTTGAGGGGCCGTTTCCAGTTCCTGTCTTCCTTGTCGGGGTCCACGACGGGGACCGTGAGGAGCAGCAGGAACTCCACCGGCAGCTGTCAAGAGCAGGAGACGGGAGGGTGCTCTGCGGCAGCCTGGCCGTGCAGGCCCAGGGCTGAGTTGCTGCTGACCCAGGCACCGGGGGGCGCTGCTGGGAGGGGGCACCTGGAAGCATCCCCTGACCCCTGCTCGGTCCTCTCTAGGTAGACCTGCAAAGGTTAAAGCTGGCTCCATCGCACGGCCACTGCAGGAATCTGCTGCCTGAGGATGAACCAGCCTTTCCCCACTCAGGACTGAGAGCCAGATGGGGCCTTCACCCCTGGGTACCCAGTCTTTGCACTTCCAGGGTCTTCTTTAGAAACCAGGGATTAGGGGCTCCCCTGGTGGTGCAACGGGTTAGGACGCAGCCTTGCAAGCTGGCTGCAGGCACCTTAGGGCGAGTTTGATCCCCGCCCCGGAGGTGACCACATGGCGCCGTTCCTGACCTCCCTCCGCTCCCCTCAGCAGTGTACTTCGTCGATCTGCCTGTTCTGCTCCCTGCTCTGTCTCTGGTGAAGCCTCTGCACCCCAGGATTAAAGCCCGGCCTTTGCCTTCCTAGAGGCACAGGTAGCATTTCTTTAGGTAATGGATGAGGTGGCCCCGACGCTCTGCTCTGCTTGGTTTGAGGCGCCATAGCTGCGCCTCACACGAGCCAGCCTGGGCCCCGGCTCACAAGTTGACCTCAGATGTAGTCCAGGCAGTGGTGGGTGACCAGAGGATGCAGCCTGCCTGGCACCCCTAACTCCCGCGCCAGCCCCTTGCCCTCACCCAGCCGTAGGGGCCCTTTCTCCTCTGTCCCGTACAGAAGCTCCCCTTCCTCCGGGGGTCTGGGGCCCCGGGTCAGGCCATCGGAGAAGCTCTATGACTCATCTCCCATTCAAGTCCCAGACTGTCTATGCTGACCCTGGCCACTCGCTCGCATGGGGAGGAAGCCGGCGGCCACTGTCCGCCGTCACCAAGCCGGGAGCCCAGCTCCCGGGCAACCTTGCCTTACCTTGAACACCTTGAGGGTCCTCCAGTATGCCGATTTGTTCCTCCACTTCCTGTAATCCAGGGGGTTGAGGGACCGGACCAGAATCTGGGCTGTGGTCTCCTGGTAGAGGAACAGAGGCCGGTACTCTTCGCCTGTGTGTGTGAGGGGCAGGACAGGTGCTGAGGTTGCTGCCGCCCCCAGGAAGGTCTCTGTCACCTCCTATCCCCAGGGAGGGAGGAAAAAGCCCAAAGCCCAGCAGGGCTTGGGCCACTGACACAGGGCTCCGCCACGTGCAGTGAGAGGGGGGCTGGTGGCCCCTCACTCTGTGGCCCGCCATCTGCCCACCCGCCCTGCACCCCTGCCTCACGCTGGGCGGGAGGTCTGCACTCACCGTAGTCACAGCTGTTGGTGTTAGAAGACACCCTTTCCTCCTCGGAATCCGAAAGCATCTCTGCGGGGAGGAAGCGCGTTTCACACTGGCCTACTTAGGGCGCCCCGTCTCCCACACCCCTGTTCTGGGTAGGACAGTCCGGCTCAGGGTGGCTATGGGGGGACAAACATATAGGTCTGTGTGTTTTGGGGTTTCCCAGCAACTAGCCTGCATACCTGGAGACACTTACAGAGAAACCTAACTCCAAAATAGTTTCAAATGAAACTCAGGGGCCTCCCTGGTAGTACAAGGGGTGAAGCCTCTGCACTATGAAGCTGTCTGCAGCTACTACAGCACGAGTTCGATCCCCAGCCAAGGAGTTGACCCACATGGCACAGCAGACCACTCTTGTCTCCCCCGCTGCTCCCCTCAGCAGTGTGTTTCAGTCCATCTGCCTGCTCTGTTCCCCACTCTGTCTCTGGTGAATCTTCTCACCACCCCCCACCTCCGCCCTGTACCTCTGGCCTGTACCCCAGTTCTTGTATGCATAAATAAATAAATCTTTTAAAATAAGAAATTAATATTTCTCTGTTCTGAATTTGAAACCTATCATCTTTCTTTTCCAGCCTGAAACTTGCCTTCGGAATCTTCTGGAATGCTTGTCAGCCTGTGAAGAGGGGCCTGAAAGGATTATGGCCTGCTTAGATTTGAGGAGTCAGTGCAGAGCAGAACATTTGTTCTGCTCGTGTGACATTGAACCCCTGTCCAGGTCTCAGTTTACCCTTTGCTTGGGGCAGGTGATCTGTGATGGTCAAGGAAGCACAGGGGTCACGCACTGAACTCTGAAGGCTCAGCTGACAAGGGGGGAGGGGTGAAACCCGGCAGACTTCCTGGAGGGGTAGTCATAGGCAGCTATGGAGGCCCCGGGGATCTGATTCACAGTTTACGAGCTAGACATCTAAGCAGATTAACAGGATGCGACGATCAAGGCTGTGCTGCAGTGAGTCAGAAAGCTTAGAAGGGAGACCTGGTTTCATAGAGCTCCCTACCTTCTAGGTTTTTCGAAAAGAAGGGCAAGCCAGGGAGAAGAGACAGCACCTGCGAAGGCCCAGAGGGAGCACCGTGCGTCCAGGGGTGTGAGGGCGGCTCCGCCCAGCCGGGTGAGATTTGGGGCATGAAACGCGTCTGGAGAAGAAAGCTGAGATCTAGCACAACAGCAAAAGATCCAGGGCAAGGTTCTCGGGCTCCACCAGGGAAAGGTGCCCACACAGGACCAGGGCAGCAGACTGTGCGGAAGAATTTGGAGTCTGAACCCACCCCTCCATGTATGGGGCAGAAGCAGGGACTGGGGGCCAGTTAGAGAACAATGCTTCGCCCAAGGGGGGAGCCCCACGCAGCTCAGGTCATTGTGCCAGAGCCCAGCCCTTCTGATGTTTCAAGAGAACCCCAAGTTCAGGGTTTTTATGTCAAATCTTTCCATTTTAAATCTTGGCTGACATAAAACAAAATACACTGGTCACACACACACAGAAGCAGCCCTTGGTTACTAAGAGGTGATCAGCAGGCTTCTGGCTCTGGCCTCTGGCACTGTGGGTGGCGGGTGGCTGTTGGGGTCTGGGGGGCCTGGCTTTGAGCCTCAGCTTGCCTGTGAGGACTGGATCGCCCTAAGTCTGATTCCTCTTCCATAAAGGGGCGTCACACTAGCCCCTACGTTACCACCTTACCAAAGAATGAGAGCTTCGGGTTTGCATTTTGAATCTGTGGGCCTATGTGAGTTATGTCTGTGTATGTGTGTACGTGGATTTATGAATACGGGGGTGTGCTGGTATTTGTGTCCGTGGGTGGTGTGTGTCTATGTGCATTGGTGCCTGTGTGTATCTGCATCCCTGTGTGGCTCTGTCTTTTGTCTTTGTGTGTGCATGTATTTGCAGATGTGTGTTTGCATTCTTGTGTGTGTGCAGATATGTGTGTGTGAACATGCTGAATATTGAATGTTGCTGATGTAGCTGTGATTGTGTGTGTCTGTGTTTCATGAGTGTGCACGTGTCTGTAAATATGGATTTAGTGGGGAGCATTGCTGCTCAGAGAAGGCCTAACCCTGGCAGGCAAGGAGGGGAGGAGGAGGAGGAAAGCGCAGCCCTGACCGGCAGGCGACGGGCCTCCCCAGCATCAGCAGAACACAAAGACCGGCGTCTGAGGAGGAGACAGGTACTGGCAAAGGCCCGAGAGAGGTGAGCGGAGTGAGTGGCACGGGGCTGCCCGCGCCCTGCTCCCGTCCTGCTCCAGTAGACCTCACCTGGAGTGCCCGGCGTGGAGTAGACCAGGGATGTCCTCCGCTGCCTTCGGTAGATCCAGGTGCAGAGAACCACAGTGGCCACGTAGAACACGTACAGGCCCAGGTAACCTGTAGGCAGGGCCGCAGGGGTCACCAAGCGGCATCCTGGAAGCAGGGCTCTGAGAACAGACGTCTGTCCGGCGCACTGTCCGTGGGGCCACCCGCGAGTCTGGCTGAGGAGCAGCAGGTAGAGGCCGTTTCTGGACGCCAACCCCTGTCCTGCCTCCCTGGCTGTCTCCCTCCTTGATGCCGCCTCTCAGCCTGGCACAGTCGGAGGCCTCCAGGACTCCATCTGAGTGCCAGGGTCAGTGTGCTGCTCTGGGTCCGGGGCGCCGCACCCCTCTGAGCTCCGGGGCCCGACAAGAAATCGGAAAGTAGCTGCCAGACTCTCGCTGCCTCCTCCCTGCTCAGTTCCCTCCGGACTCTGGAGGGCCAGTGACCCTCTTTGATAGTGATGCGTGGTAGCACCAAGTCCAGGGCTCAGCCTCACCGGGTGCCAGTCACCCCAGGCCCTGCTTTTAGGGGCTCTCACTGTGGCTGGTCCCTGCTGTCTCCGCAGCAGTGCACCCCAAGCCCCCAGCAAGTTGACCCTCCATCTGTGCCACTTGGCCCATCTTTGGGCAGCGAGAGGTCTGCTGAGCTGCTGGCTAAGCTTCCAAGTTGTGGCTCTTCTGTAACTCACCCCGGCCTGCCCTGCCCCTAGGGCTATCAAGCCCTAAGGGGAAGCCAGCTTAGGCTTCCTGTTACTTGGAACTGAAGGTGACTATGCCCGCTGGCCCCCCCAACTGTCCCCCGTGTCTCCCCGACCCCACTCCAGGGTGACCCCGCCTGGTCAGCAACAGCTCACCCAGGGCCCAGGCCAGCGTGACCCTGCGGCGGTAGAGTGCAGTGAAGGTTAGGAACACGGCCACCATGTAGAAGACGATGTCTCTGAGGAAGGGCCTCGAGGCGGCCGTGAAGGGGTGCAGGATGGCGATGCCCCCTGCCACCACGGTGGTGACCAGCACGCCTGCACCTGGAAGGCAGGAGCCAGCTCAGCCCATGCCCACCTCCCACTGCTCCCCGGCGCTGCCAGGGCCACACCTACCGAACAGTGCTCCCAAGGCCAGGCCAGCTGTGCGAGGGTCCGAGAAAGCCACCAGCGCACTGAAGACATCAGGGGCCCCGTTCCCGAATGCCAGGAAGGTGACGCCATGGAGACGCGTGTCAAGGGGGTCAGCTCAGAGGCCCCCGCCTGCCCGGGCCTTTCCTGGGCCCTGAGC